CGGTTTGCCATGTCTGGTATTGTCGAGCTCCATGGGTCCTGCATGGGTGGTCTGTCCCCAAGCCGTGCTGACGCGGGGTTTGTCGTGCTGGTACTTGCGTCCTTGATTGGATCGGTGGTGGGGAATGCGAGGGTTCCATGGTCCTATAGCGGGCTTTCGTCCCTTTTCTATTCTGCGTTCGTACTGGCGATCGTCGATTTTGACGGCCATGGCGATGTACTCGGTGAGGGTTTCGGGTCTATCCTCCCGGATGAGGTCGTCCTTGACGGCGTCTTTGAGTCCTTCGTAGAAACGGGCCATGAGAGCGGACTCTGTCCAATCGAGTCGACTGGCTAAGAGTCGAAACTCCGTGGCGTATTTAGTGGCTGGCCCCGTCTGTTTGAGCTGAAGGATTTTTCTTTCGTTTTGTCGTTCCTCGTCCACGTCCCCAAACGCTCCTTTAATGGCTTCTTCGAATGCGTTCATACCGGCGTAGATGTCCTGGGTGGCCTGCTTCATATCTTCTTTCTTGGTGTGGGTGGAATAGTCCCTAATGAAGGGTTCGAACCAGTGCAAGGCGTCCCCTTTGAGGTAAGAGGAGGCGTTGGCGACCTTCTCGCCCCAGTACTTGAGTTGGCCCTCATTGGCTTTGTGGTACTGGCGTACCTGGGTGATGAAAGATTGAAGTGCCCTAGGGTTGCCGTCGAATGACTGAGGGGGAAGAGCCTTCATGCTCGTTCCGCCTTGAAGTTGCTGCATCGAGGCTCGTAGCTGCTCGTTCTCTGAGCGGAGCTCTTGGATCATAGCGGCCAGGTTGCTGGCGCTGTTTCCGACGCTGTTGGTGGACATTGTTCCTGTGGTGAGTATTGCTCAGTGTCACAAGGTAAACCTACTGAACAAGAGTGATCAAAATGTTACGACCTGGCAGCTTCCGAAGGGGGAACACTGTCAGAGGGTTGGGGTTGCTGTTTGCAGAAGCTTAGGTTGTGACTCTGAGACGATGTGGTGTCGTAAGGCGTTGCGCACTCGTTACAATGAATACAAGGTAAGACTTAGATTGATCACTGTCGTGAGAAAGAATGTATCTACAAGTCCAGAATGTCCGTCCTTATATACCTGCCATCCTGTCCTTGTTGTGTTAGGTGGTGAGCTCATGTTGGATGGCTCACTGGTTAGTTGTTGGTGATCCATGATGTTAGGATCACGGTGTGTTATCCCGTGAGCCATTCCCTGGCTCACTGCGGCGTCCTTGGTGAGCCCGACGACTCACCCTTTATGTCTGAGTGAGCCATCACGTGATTTGCCAGGTGGGCCCGATTCTTATCTTATCGCGCTCCCTGATCGCGGGGTCGTCGATTCGCGGCCGCCCTGCTTCCTTGGTTGTTACAATATTCCCCTTAAGAGGTATTAGATAGAAAGCTTTAAATAGCGAAATCCCTTTATTATAACCCTCTTAAGTAAGCGAATAGAAGCTAGCTATATTAAAAGTATTATTATTTAATATCTTAAGGATTTCTTCCTTCTATTTAACGCCCTTAATATTAAAGCTATTCCTTTATATTTACGATTTAATATAGATAAGACGGGTATTATAGAGGGTATAAGAATTAATAGCCTAGTTCTAGGCTAAATAGAGTATCGGAAATACTATATATAGATAGCCGATTTATACTCTTAGATTATTATTATTAAATATATATCTATTATAAGCGAAGCCCTCCCTCCCTTTATTATTTTTAAGGGGAAAATACTCTAATAGTAATAGTTCCTTAAAGCTTTCGATAACTTTAATAATTAGAAGTTCGCTATAATAATTAATAGATAAATAAATAATATAATAAGCCTCGAATAGTTTATAAAGATCTTTATCCCTTAAATATAAACTAAGGCCCTTAAGCTTAAATCTCCTCGCTTCTTTATAATAAATAATTATAGGAGTTATATATTTAATAACTTCCTATAAGAGTACTTCTAAGAGAATATCCTCCTTATCTTCCTACCCCTATATTCGAGCTATATTATATAGCCTCTTAACCTCTCTATATTTAGCCCTTTTAAGATAATATATAAGAAGTATTTTAAGAGTATAGTTTACCTCCTTAATATATCGCTTATTAATAAATAGAACTTCCTTCTCTATTATTAGAAAGCTAAGTATAATACTATTATATATAATAATATTATAAATAAATAGTATAGAACTAGCTTATAGCTAGTAAATTTATTTCGGCCTCTCTTAAGCTCTTAGATAATAGACGAAGGCTATCCTATATACCTAGAGACCCCTTAGAAGTAGTAGAAATATATAGACTTTACTTTATAAACGCTATAAAGGGCGAAAGATCTACGGTTAAGCTATTCTATACTATCTCGGATCTATATAATATTAAGGGCCTTAGTACGAGCTATATAGCGCTTATTTATAAAGGTAGGGAAGTCTCTAGATATTAAAGATATATAAATAGTAAAAGTAGGCCTCCGAATAGCTTAATTAAGCGCTTAATTAGAAATATATAAGCCCTATAGGAAGATAAGGGTAGCCTAGGAGCCTAACTTAAGGTTTATTAATATCTAGGCTATTAAGGCCGCTTAATTAAAGGCGCAGGCCCTCTATATACTATTAGTAACGCCTATTAAGTATTAGGAAGCTAAGTTTAAGTCTTAGTACTCGGAATTTCTATTAGAATAAGCCCTATTAAGTAAGTAATTAATATTATCTACTATTCTGCGCTGCTATTCGTTCGTCGATTTTAGTGCGCGGAGTTAGGGGGGCGCGGAGTTAGGGGTGTGGGACTTAGGCTGCTGGCTGAGCGAAAGCGAACGCAGGGTCCAAGCCCATGACATAACCCGGTCCACAACAGGGGGCAGGTCGCCGGCTGCCTCGGACTGTCACGCGACCGGCAGCCTGTGTGCGACCGCTGGACCCGGGCAGCACCAGGTATCCGATGACGAGAGATCTGCTCGTTTATGTTGTAGGTTTAAGGGTTGTTGCTCGTTTACTTAGTGCGAGCTCACGACGGTTGGTACGCTGTTGGATGTTCCATGGTCAAAGCAGGTGTTCCAATCAATTCATGTCGCCTGCTATAGATGCCAAAGTACTTTGTTCCAGGGGCTATACTCGAATCTCTCAGGGCAGATGTTCAAAGCTGGCACATACGGCCATCTCCATTCAAAAGATTAATCAAGTCAAGATATAAAGAAAGTCTTGACTGGAGATGACATGCAACGGACTTAGCGGGAACCCCGTGCGCCAGCATTGGTCGTAGACCAAGACCCTCGTCAGCGCCCTGCCCTCGACCACCCCTGGTGCACCTTCGGCTGGCTGTTGGAAACATGACAGATCACAAGAACCCAGACCAAACTCAACTCAGACTGATTAAAATAAGGTAGGAGGTACTGTATGTACGAACGATCGTGAGCATGGTCTGCCAAATATGATACAAACTGAACCGATGAAAGCAGCCTCATTTGCACGCTATGCTTAAGATAGATATCCTGCCCCGGCGGCCCGTTCATCACAGCGTTGCATCTCGTAGTCCCCAAAGGGAGGGGACGGGGGCGGCCCGCACTGGCCGCTCAGCACGCGCACCCCTCCTGCGAGGGCTGCTGCGTGTTGGTCTTGACGTCGATCACTGTGGCGCAGATCAGTCAGTAGGGACTCGAAACGGAACCTCTGAAAGTGGCAGGACATACTCTGGTTAGCAGCCTGGGCGGCCGTGTCGGAGCCCTCCATGCCCGGCAGCGCCTGAGCTATCCTCTTGAAGAGCGTCTTGACGTTGTGGCCGAGCTTCGCACTCGTCTCGACGAACATGAGGTTGTTCTTCTTGGCCTCGTCCTCGCCCTGCTGCGTCGTGACCTCGCGCTTCTCGTTCAGATCCGTCTTGTTGCCGACAAGCACGATGATGACGTCGTTTCCGCGCTCGGCGCGCACGTCGTCTATCCACTTTTTGGTGTTCTGGAACGATTTCGCGTCTGCACAGGTTAGTCCTTGAGGTTGCGTCGGAAAGGAAGATGCCACGGAGGCTGTGCCAAGTCTGGGGGTGACGCACTCGAGATGTCGTAGACAACCACGGCAACGCTGGAGTCTCGGATGTAGGAGGGAATCAGACTCCTGAATCGCTCCTGGCCGGCGGTATCCCACAGTTGCAGGCGAACGGTGCGGTCCTCGAGGTACATCGTCTATAGCCGGTCAGCTCGGTCGATTGGTACAATTCTCGAATTGGCATGCCTTGGAGAGGAAATCGATGCCGATTGTCGCCTGGTACATGTTGTCGAATGAATCATACATGAACCGTGTAATGAGTGATGTCTTGCCGACGCTCTGCTCACCCAAGAAGACGAGCCTGTGTAGTGTCAGCCGCTGCCGACCATCATCTCGTCACGACAACTCGTACTTGAACTTCTTGAGCGGGTTGTTGTAGGATCCGGACGCCATCTTGCCGGTCTTGCTGTCCTCTTAGCCTCGGTATGGGGGAGGGGCGGTGGATAGGGTTCGAAGGAGGGGAGAAGGGGGGGGGGTGGCGACACGGTGCGGACGGTTCCTTGTCGGTTCGCAAAAGTCGCAGCGGCGTTCAACGAATAGTGTCCGTTATGACAGTCGTTCGCACGCGTGATGCCGTCAAAGTCGGGGGGGAGGCGTCTCGAGAATAGCTTGAGTGAGGGCGCTGCGGGTTGCAAGGGGAAAGGAGGTCTGCAGGTCTGGAGCTGTCCATTCTCGTGCCTCTCGACCTTGGCGGCGGTCATTCCGAGCGATTGGTGGAGATGCACGTCGATAAGATAAGGCATTGTTCCCACTCTAAAATCGACTGGGGCAAGTTTGGTCGATGGCTCCATATTCCGCTCACGTGCCGATTAGATTGTCCTATGGAAAAAAATCCAGAATCCCCGCCGACCCTGAAGCAGGTGGCAGACCGACGATTTTGGTGTACAAGCAGAACTAGAACTGCCTTTCACCTTATCTGCAGCAAGCAAAAGTTCGCCGTTGCCAGCTTTTGTCGTTTCACCATCACCAATCCACCCCAATGCCCGTTCTCAAGCCCCTCTCGGGGTCGACCGAGGCGCCCCAACAGCACAAGCAACCGTCAAGGAAAGGCAAGAAGGCATGGAGGAAAAACGTCGACCTCACCGAAGTTGAGCAGGGCCTCGACGCCCTCAACGACGAAATCATCCGAGGGTAAGAGAGAGACCGTTTGCCTTCGGCCCGTTGCCTGAGCCACACTCCCACACGAGGCCCCGGCCCGGCTAACAGAGAAAACCAGTGGTGTCGCCGCCGAGAAGGACTCAGCCGACCTCTTCGCCATCGACACCGTCGGCGAGACGGACCCCAAGAAGAAGCAGCGCGTGACCAAGACGCTGCGCGCTGACGAGATCATCGCCCAACGCTCCGCCGTCCCCGCCGTGTCCCTGCGCAAGCGGCCCGCCCCCAAGACCTCGGACGGCCTGCTCCCGACGAAGCGCGCCCGCAAGGACTGGGTGTCGGCCGCCGAGCTCGCGCGCCTGCGCCGCGTCGCCGACGGCCAGGCGCCCTCGACCATTGACGTCCAGCCCGCGACCTACGACGTCTGGGCGGCGCCGCCGCCCGTCGAGAAGCCCGTCGTCGAGCGCGCCGAGGACAACTTCATCCCCGCCAAGGAAATGCCCAAGCCCCCGCGCACGCTGCGCCACAAGCCCGTCTCCCTCGCGGGCGTCGGGCAAGACGGTCCGCGCCGTGGCCAAGCCCAAGGGCGGCCACAGTTACAACCCCCTGTTCGAGGACTACGCCGCCCGCCTCGAGGTCGAGTCGGCCAAGGCCGTCGAGGCCGAGAAGAAGCGTCTCGCCAAGGAGGAGGAGACGCGCCTGCGCGAGGAGGCCATTGCCCGGTCCGCTGCCGAGGCCGACGCCGCCGAGGCGCGCGCCAACCTCTCCGAGTGGGACGAGGACTCGGCCTGGGAGGGCTTCGAGACGGATGCCGAGGGGTCGGATGCCGAGGGTGTGTCGGCGCCGAGCAAGCCGCGCAAGCGCAAGACAACGGTCCAGCGCAACAGGATCAAGCGCCGCAGGGCCGAGGAGGGTCTGAAGAAGCACGAGTCCAAGATCAAAGCCCGCGACGAGCAGACGAAACGCATCAGGGAGATTGCGTCCGAGATTGCCGAGCGCGACGCCTTTGTGCAGGCCCTCGTCGCGCAGCAGGCCGAAGTCGACTCTTCGGACGAGGAGGACGACGGTGCCGGCGAGGTCGTGCTGCGGAGGAAGAAGCTCGGCAAGAGCAAGCTGCCCGAGGGTGACCTCGAGCTCGTTCTGCCGGATGAGCTGCAGGACTCGCTCCGCAGGCTGCGGCCCGAGGGCAACCTGCTCAAGGACAGATACAGGAGCTTGCTGGTGCGTGGCAAGGTCGAGAGCCGCAGGAGGATCGCCTTCCACAAGGCGCCAAAGGTCAAGTACTCGGAGAAGTGGTCGTACAAGGATTTCAGGTTATAGATGCAGGGGGGACAAGGACTTCGCTTCATAACGCAGCGTGAATACATAAGCCGGGCTGGCTGTAATGACCTATTTGACATGTGTCCTGGTCCTCCTGTCCATGAACTCAAGAAACTATCGCACATGATGCTCCTTAAGACGCTTCTAATACGCAACCAAATCTGTGACTCGTTAGTAAAGGCCGTCAATCTGAAGCGACGCAACGTACCTCTGCCGAACAAACCCCGCTTCGCCCAGTCCATTGCCAGCAGCATCCTCGTGCGGAAACTCACGCTCTGCGCGAAATACACCGAACGCCAGGCGTACACAGCCCACAATCCGCCCGTAATGTTCCACCCTTGGCCGAGATCGAACACGGCCGAGTTGCCGATATAGGCCAGGCTGCCGAGATGGTGGTACTCAAACGCCCTGTAGACAACAGAGTCAATGTCGCCGTCCTGGATCTCGTTCTGCCTCAGCGCGTCGGCTGTGCGCGCCATCTTGTTGAACTTGTGCGCAAGGTACTGGCCTTGTTGATGAGCACGCTGGGCCGTTGCGGGCAAACTGGTGAGCTTGGAGTCGATCTGCTTGAGCAGCTCACGAAGTTCGCCAAAGTCGAGGGTACCGGACTGATCCTTGTCAAACTGAGCAAACAGCTTATCAACGCGCTTCAGGTGGCCAATAGCTTGTGGGAATCGCTTCTTAATGTCAGAGGCGACGTCACGCCAGTCGCTGAAATGCAGTTCAAGAGTTTCGGGATCCTTGCCGCGTTTCCATGCAAGGTTGCGGAGGAATGTCACGATATGATCGGCAACGTTGTTCTGGACCGTAGAGCAGTCGCCAATGGCATAGACATCGCCTAGGGGCGCACCGTTGAGGCGGAGATGGGTGTCCGTCTCGAGGGCATGCCGGTTCGTCTGCATGCTGCCTAGCTTATCCGAGAGACGCTTGCAGAATTCCGTCTGAGAAACACCAGTGGACCAGAGGCAGAAACCCATGGGGATCTCTTTCGTGACGATGCTACCGTCATCCTGACGCTGTGTGTAGATGATTTTGTCGGGCTGGACCTCCTGAACGCGGGAGTTGATTTGAACATCAACCTGGTCGCGTGCAAAACGGGCTTCGGCATACTTGGAGACTGCCTCATCATAGGTGTTGAGGATGTGGCTACGGCTCTGGATCAGGTGCACCGAGATTTGGTTGCGCAGGAGGCGAGGGAAGTTCTCCGTCAGGTCCTCGTTCAAAAGATCGAAGAGCTCAGCCGCAAACTCAACACCCGTGGGGCCGCCGCCGCTGACAACAAAAGACAGGAGGCGTTTGCGCTCCTCGTCGGTGGTGGTCGGTAGGCAAGACTTTTCAAGGTTGCGGATGATCGAGTTGCGGATCAAGCGCGCATCGTTAATGTCCTTGAGAAAGTGGGCGTTCTCCAGTCCTTTGACACCGTGGGGGTTCGTCGTTGAGCCCACGGCAATAACAAGCTTGTCGTATGGAACGTAGAATCTCGTCACGTTTCCCTGCTTGTCCTCTTGAGACACCTCGACGAGCTTATGGGAGAACTCGACATTCTCCGCCTTGGCGCGTACAAAGTGGCCATTGACACGGGCGAGAACTCTGCGGATAGGCTCAACGAGAGAGCGGAGCTCGAGGGTGCCGACAGTGGCGGAGGGCAGCATGGGCGTGAAAAGGAAGTAGTTCTTGGGCGAGATGACCGTCACGTGGTAGTCGTCGGGGTTCAGCTCCTTGAGCATGGCAACGCCACCCCATCCGCCACCGAGGATGACGAGCTTCGGCTTGTCCTTCTGGTTCTGCTTCGTTTCATGATCAGAGTCATCAATGAAGACCTCGGCGATTGGCAGGTTCTTTGGTCCGCCAATGCGGGGGTTCAAGGCCATCTGCGAGACGGTGATGTCCATGCCGGTGGTATGTTCCTTGTATGTCGAGGCATCGTAAATGAAGAAGCCGACGACACTAACGCCGACAAAGGCAACAGAGATACCAAACCAGGCTGCCGCTCGATAGGCAAAGTTCCAGGCCCTGGACTTGACCTGAGGTAGAGGCTTGCCGGATATGGGTCGGACGGAAGCCTTGGGGGCCTTGTGGGCGTCGAAGAAGAACGGCGTCAGGGAGGTTCGGGCTTGGGACCGCGGGGGGACATTTGCGTATGATCTTGACTGCAGAACAAAAGGTTGCGATCGTCCAGCGAGGCAGTGGGGGCCTGCAATGCCTCGATACTGTCGTGTCGCGCGTGCCAGGCGGACAGGCGCCGCTGTCGCCGTGGCGGGGCGCATTCTATGAGGTGATGGCTGGGTTGTCGGGTCTCGCGGTGGGAAGGTGTCAGTCCATCAGCAGAGCAAGTGAACGAGCGTGTGTCGAGGAGAATCAAACTGCGCGCTTTGGGGATTGGAAGCGCTGTAGCAGGCTGTGACAATACTGCACAAGAAAAATCGCTTCGAGGTGATTGAGAGGGAAAAGAAGTCGGAGCTACCTCAGCCTGTGGCAGGAGACGAGCGGAATGGTGGTTGGTTGATCGAGTTGGTGCTGTCTGCTACGGGCTAGTGCGGTGGTGATGATGGCCGCTATCATTGATCCCAGCCAGAGCTCCAATCCCTGCTCTCCAGACGTCATTGACCCGCAGCCCGGCGCTACCTTGCCGCACCACAGAGTGGAAGCACAGCAGGCACAGGCACTAGCCGCTGCAAAATCAGGGGAGGCCAAGCATGCAACAGTCGATGCGCGAGCTTTGCGTCTCAACCCCAATAACTCCGGTACATGACGCTCAAGTGACTTCATCCATAGCCTTCGCAGGCCTTGGGTACTTTGAATGTATCTCCCATTGTTGTTGTATCTTCGGAGAAAAAACATTGGACATGCATGCACAAGACCTTGGCCAAAAGGAATGGGCGACCGCGCTTGGATAACACCAGCCTGACGAACAACTTACCTAGCAGCTCCACATGACGCCGGTCTTCCCGGACTGAAGGTGCCGGCCTGCCGACCTCCGTCTTCACGGCCGAGCAGCGTACCGAGAGCCCGACGCGCGAAGATTAATCATGTCGGACAAATCGTGTTTTTCTAGACCGAGCTTCACAGGCTACGGCCGAGGGCTCCTTGCGCCGTCAGGTCGCTCGTTCCGTTGATGAAGTCATCTCCGAGCCGAAGACACGCAGACCACCAAGACGGCTTTCTGATGAAAACTCCAACCCACCTGCTCGTAGTCTACATAGACAAGGTATCTCGCAGCATGAACGCTTTTTTCATGATTCATGATCCGAGAAGTCATCTGGTCCAGCTTCCCTCGTTTAGAGGAACAATTGATGTTTGCGTTTCAGCGGGTCATCACGAGCTGCTAAATGATATTGGCCATGATGTACGAATCGGTCGTGCTCGCATGTGGTACAACTTCCTACTCCCTAGATTAGCATATCTCTGGAGATAACCACGTGTTGCGAAGATTCGTAACATTATTCCTCTGACATACTAACTCATTTACCGGCCGGTGTGCTTTCCTGTGAAGCTGTCAATTGAGTATTCCGAAAAAGACATCGTCACGGTCAGAACTTCAGAAGATTAAAGATCAAAGTTCACAGTGGGTCTCAGACGGCTTTAATCTGTGTACTCAGCATTATGGTATTTGACGTTTGAAAGGAAGAAAATATAGCGGTGAAGTGACTTTATCATCGACTTTGCGAAAACCTGAGCCTGGTTTTCTAAAGGAACAACCACTTTGGAGCCGTCCAGACCGTGGGTATCCGGTGACTTTGCAGGGGCTGTTTGTTCTCTACAGGCCAGATTCTGAATTGATGTCTCACACCTCCAATCGGAGGATAGTGGATGAACTTTAATCAAGTACAATAATGGTATGCTTAAATTAAGGTGGAATGACTTTCTCGCCCATCACTAGGTTGCACCATCGCATCTGCACCCTTTGAACAATGTCGAGGATTCAGTGTTCAAGTGAAGACATCCAGCGAAATTGAGGTGAGATTTGTGTGGCTAAACATTAGTATCCCTGAATGAACCTAAGACTACCATACCACTCATGCGGGCCCAAGATATGTAGCACAATTGTACTCTGATCTCTCATCCAGGGAAGACGGAGTGTACTGTGCTCCAATGTCATTCTGAGTCACGTGTGCGCTTGTCGGCGACCCTGACAAATGGCAACAGGAAGATTCTAGAGTGTCTATTAGGGCGTCTAGAGAACAGCGACGAACGCATACCAGGGACTGAAGATTGACACGTTGAAGAAGGGAAAATTCAGCCCAGCGGGTGGAGGTACGAGGGAACCATTACCATGTTCCGTAAAAACCTTGTTGTTGACGCGAGGCTAGAGTTCGTCTCTTGTAGGACTAGGTAAAACCGAGCCTCGAGGCATATCTTGTAGACGGAGCAGGCTGAGCCATCAGAGCTGTGATCAAGTCGACCGTTACCCCAAGATTCGACTTTCGTTCGAGGGCTACAATGATGGTCCCAAGAGTCTTGGGGCTGAACAGAGAGCAATAGATACGGTTGTCTCCGATCTATTGCCCAAAGTCGCACAAAGCTCAGACGTCCCGGCCTTCGCTCAAGATTAGTCTTAACTGCCAGTGGTGGCTAGTGCCAGATTTCATTTTTGATGCCAAGGGTCCTCGCTCTGAGGCACTGGTTCATAGCGAAGCAGCACGCTCGGATTGACACGAAGATCAGAATCACACAAAAGTGGCTGGCGTGAAAATGGTTTCTCTCATGCCAGACGACCTAGTTAATCAATCCTTCGCCCTGCATATTTCCAATTGCCCAACCCACCCTCATTTAGTCGTCAATCAACACCGGAAGTACCTCTTCTCCACCCATCGGTTCTCACTGTCGGGCAGCATGTTACACAGCACGACAGATATACCGGGGAAGACTTTGGTCAACCGGTGCACGCCCAGCTTGCCAGCATGGTAGCACGCCAGCACGATGTTCTCCTGCGCAACGCCGTGGTCAACGAGTACCTGGACGGCCATCAGCGCCGCACCGCCGCTGGCCATCTGCGTGTCGATCAAGAGCACACTTTCGCTCTTCTCGATTTGGCTGGGAAGCTTCAGGTAGTGCAGCTCCGGCTCGCCAGTCCGCACGTTCGACTGGACGAGGATACGCCCGGTGCGGCAGTCGGGGATCAGTCTGTGCAGCGCCGTCTCAAACGCGGCGCCGCCACGGAGCACGAGCACTGCCGTAACCTCACCCTTGGCCTGAAGACCCTTGTACTTGTAGCCCGCGGGCGTCTCTGCGTCGTACTCCTTGAATCGGACATTGTTGAGCGCCCTAATATTGTCAGTCTTTTCTCTCGGGCATGTTGAAGACAGGCAGCGGCGTACTTCTCAACCAGTAAACAGGCCAGCCTGTCGAAGTAAAATATGAAATCCTCGGCAGAGGTGTCAATGTCCTGGAGAATCGTGTTCATGCCCCGCAACTGTGGCGTCTGGTCAAGGATGAAGACCTTGTCCGACAGCGGCTCTGCCGATGCGTCAATCTCGAGTTGAGTCAAGGCGGCGCGGTGGTGCGTTGACTTCTCAAGCAGCTTTCGCTCAATGTACTGAACCACCATGGCTGATGAATGTTAGTTTCGCCATGCATGGCGTGGTCATCGGCGGCAAGCTCACTCATAGCAACGTGGTTCTCAATACCACGAGGAACGATGACATCTACTTCCGTTAATTGATGTTGAAGACCCCTGGAACGTGGTGCGACTTACCAGCCACCTTTCGTTGCGGCTCGACATACTACGCCCAATTAGCGGCGCTCATGCAGTGAGCTGAGATTCCTACCTTTTCGAAATTGGGCTTGACGAATCCAAACCACTGCTTCATGATACCCTCGACGTCACGATCGCGTTCCCTGACATCGCGAAGAACTGTCGGGTATAAGTAGGTGTCATATCAGTGGAGCCTAAGGTTCACACCTCGTCTAGAAAGGCATGTATCGGGATCGGCCTCGCAGAAAATCTGGAACCGTCAGCGCCAGTCTATAGCCTAACGTATTAGGGCGGCAATACCTTCATGTCCAGTAGATCCAAAATACGTTGGTCGTACAGGGCAAAGATGCCCTCGAGGATCAAAACATGTGGTGAATAAATCGTGGTAGAATGGTCCAGACGCTGGTGCTTGGCGAAAGAGTAGACAGGAATCTCTGCCCTCTTACTGTTCATCATTAGTCAGTGGCCGGGGCATGCTGCATCTTTCTTATGCAAGGAAACATTGAGCGATACGCACCCGGCCTTGAGGTCTCGAAGACACTGCGTCAAGACATTAAAGTCGATAGCCTACACAGTATTATTAAGCACGCGATTCTTCACTTGGGAAGTTAGGAGGAGGGATCTACCTCTGGGGAGTCAAAGTCGAAGTCGTTGTTGAACGCTTTCTTAGATTGCTCTGGCGTCAAAGGGTTATAGAAGGAATCCTTCTCATGTTAGACATGACCTTTCGTCTCAGCCACTCGACCCAGCTGAACGCTTACCATGGACAAGATGACGACCCACGGCAGGTTCAGCTTCTTGCAAATGGCATGCGCCAGCGTCGACTTGCCAGAGCCCGACGAGCCTGCGATGCCGATGATAGACACATCGGCCCATGGAGGTGCATAATGAAGGCGTTTCTGCACCGTAACATGAGATTCGTTGGCGGCCATGGTAGGCTGGCAGTTGTGTCTCCCAGATCACAGACAGATCAGCGAGTGAGGAGCCGCGGGGTAGTTGGATCGGTGGCTGAAGATAAGGTAGGCTGGACGAAACAGGTCGTAATTCGAGAACACTTGTCAGTGCGAAGACGTTGACTCAAACAGCCGGCGAGACGTAGGCTCTTGAACCCAAGCACAGATGCAGATGCAGCGCTTCGGTACCCGTCAATCGGCGCCCTCCGAAGTTCAGAATCTGAACAATTGAGGCCCAGAAGAGGAGTGGGAGGATGATAAACAGATAAGAAGCCCTGTCGAGCCTAGACCACTGAACGGGGGACAAGCTCGGCACAGACTATGCCTGCTAAGATGGTTTGGTAGACAGAGAAAGAGAGCTTCGAAAGCTGGAGACTAGTGCCTACTTGGAGGAGAACGTTGAGAAAAGAGGAGAGAGGTTCTTGGTCGACATCAATGGGTTGGAGACGCAGAGCAGCAGGTCGCGTGAGGTCATTCCCGTCACATGGAGGCAGGATCATCACCTCTCACACTGTATTTACAGGGCGCTTTTTTGGCGCTGCTAGCGCTTTCAGGCAGGTGGCAGCCTTCAGCCTCTTTCGCTCAGCGACACGGCACGAGCTGGTCAGGGCAAAGAAGTGCAAGGCCCCCGTCGCCAACGAAAGCAGAAGCCCCATTCTGCGTTAGGTCAAGCCCGGACACGCCCTGATTGGCAGCCTCGTGCCGGGAAATCCACACCAGGCCCTGCACCTGCTTTCAAATAATTAAAGCCTACGTTGCACCCGTTTTGCATTCCTTCCCTCACTCCCATTTCGTCTTCACCTTCGCCTTCATTCTTCGTGTCCCAGCCTGCTTTCGCCATCGAACAGCCTGGGCCCAAATGTTCCACCTCAAACCCCCCTAGCTGTCACTTCTTCGGCGTCAGAATCTCCTCGATCACGACTGCTCCTAGAACCAACTCATCCTACCCACCTCCCACCGCATGTCTGGACTGCCAGACCCCAACGATCCCGTCTCCGTCGCTGTTTGGAACAGAGCAGCTGCCAGTCTCGTTCGCGAGACGCGCCTGAGAATCATGGTTCGTCAGCTTTGACATCATGGGCGATGCCTCGGCATTTGCTAAGACGTCCGTTCTTCAGACTTCGTCAGCGTCAACAGCTACGCCAATGAAGCACTCGTTTGAGGAGCGCGTCGATGACGTGAAGTCGCCTAAGAGGTTTGTGCCTTCTTTTCTTCTGCTCCAGCCTTCCCCATCCACCACCAACACCAGAATGATGAACAACTATCACAATGGGAATCTCTCCTAGCAATTCCGTGCGGAGAAAGTCGATATAAATTTTGCCTGAACCTTTCTTGTGTCTCGTCTCATGCCTCTATGACCCATAACTGGTTGCAGCATCATGCTGACTTGGCTTTCCCCAGCGACATCAATTCACTCATCTTCGATTACCTGATGATGGAAGGCTACCCCAATGCTGCAGCAAAGTTCAGCAAGGAGGCCAATCTCCAGCCACATCAGGCCGACGACACGATCCAACTGCGTCAGCAGATTCAGCACTCTATCCATATCGGTAGCGTGCAGTCAGCAATAGAGGCCTTGAATGATCTCGATCCTGAGGTAAGACGCTCTCCTCCTTTCCTCTGCCTTGCTATGATTAGAACACGAGTTTTACATGCACCACTCATATGATCTTCGGATCGTGATGAGAAACAACCACTTTTTACTGAGCAAACACCTCACCTTTTCCTCTTTCAATTGCTTGCTGCGAGGACCGGATCTAACAGATCCGTCAGATACTGGATCGCGACCCTACCCTGCACTTCGCCTTGTTGCGTCTGCAGTTGGTCGAGCGCATCCGCTCCTCGACCGCATCGTCGGACGAAATCGCTACGCTCGAGTTCGCCCAGACGCATCTGGCCCCTCGCGCCGTGACTGATCCTCGATTTCTCAACGATCTCGAAGAGACCATGGCCTTGCTAGTGGTGCCGCGTAGTAGCCTGGAGCCCCAGCAAGCCGCCATTCTTCACCCTGATCTGAGGAGGGAAGTCGCGGACAACGTCAACAAGGCTGTCCTTCAGCGCATGTCCGAGCGCCGAGAAGCGGCCATTCGCGAGCTCGTGAGGATGAGAGCCTGGGCTGAGCAGACAGCCCGTGCCAGCAAGAAGTCCCTTCCTGAGAGGTTGGACATCGGCCTTGATCGCCCTGATGAGGGACACGAGTCCATGCTCATCACCTAGAGAGTAAAACTTTGCATGCTAGGGTTATCCCATACTGCGGGAATCGACGTTGCCAGCCCCAAGTGATTGGGCAAACGTAGCTTCATGAGGACTTCGGAATGGAGCGGATTAGACTTGACAGAGCACGATATTTTCGGCACTTCATCAATGATACCAGATCAACTACCTTTGACATGATATATCCCTGGTGAACCCTTGCGGTGATGCAGCTTGTTTTGCGGCCTTCTGTGTAAAACGAATCTTACCGCTATACTAGAGCAGTTTCCTAGGTAGGTAGTCAAGACAGTGACAGTCGTCTCGTGACGGGCTGCCCCTTGTCGCCGTCTGTGCCCAGTTCATCGTCAATCGTCTGCATCACTAACTCCGCCTGCTTCTGCCTGAATACATGGTCCAGCCGCAAAGTCTTGAAAGCACCAAGAGGTCACCTGCGTTCCTTCGCATGTCACACCGTATTTCACTGAAGCTGGAACAACAGCAATTTCGCAATCCTGCTAGTCCAGCGACGGTTCTTTGTGACAGAACAACTCTAAAACTTTCGATTCCTGCACACTTATGTACACATTCCCAGTTCACCACGCACCCTTCACACCCACCTAAGGACACCCATCTATTTCGTGCGGATGTGCTTCAGGTTCCTCGCTGAGTACAAAAAGTTGTTGGCGTACGCCTTGGGCGCAATCTTGCGGCTCTGGGGCTCCTGAACGAAGAACTCGTAGCCCTGCTTCTCGGCAAAGCGGATGGCGTCCTCCTTGGTCTTGAAGTTGAGCTTGGTGCCCTGCATCATGTCACCCGACGACTGCCAGCCCATCAGCGGGTTCTCCCACCGGTGGCCCTTGGGGAGGATGTCCCAGTCCATGCGCCAGTGGTGGCCCTGCCAGTTGCCGGACTGGGTGGCAGGCTTGGTCTCTTGGTAGATGCTATTGTATGCGTTAGCTGCGCTCGAGGACAGACGGCCGTATTATTCCGATAGGACGAGGCCGTCATCGGTGTACGGGCATGGATAGTCGTACCGAACTGTGCGCCCCTGAAGCTCCATGGGAGCGCCGGAGACGGTGGCGGCTTGGATGTAAGGGACGTCCTCACTGCCATCCTGAATGCGCTTGGGGACGGGAGTGAAGGTACTAGATCATCGTCAGCGGCTATCCTCGTTTCCTACTGCTTCCTGCAGGCACTCACGAGGTGGCCTTGTCGTGGTTGATCTCGTAATCGGGCTGGTTCGGGTCGGTCGAGGGCACGGCAGCGGGCGCGGTGGTGACGGAGCTCTGGAAGCGGCGAGCAGCCAGCGGCATGGCGGTGCGGGTGGCCGTCGCGCTGCGGAGAAGGCGAGCGGCCTGCTGAGTCCTCAGAGAAGCCATGGCGGGACGTCCTCTCAGATGGGGTCGATGGAGGGGTTGGATCGAGTCGAATCAAGTCGTGTCGTCGTGGCGGGCGCTCGAAGTTCCTCAATTGACTTGACGTTGCTGCAGCTGAAGGGCAAACCAGGAATTGGTGGGCGCTGATTGGGCGGCCGCATCAACGTTGTCCCGGGCAAGCGAGCGCTTTTCCTTCCCGCGGCAATCCTCGACCCAGGCGAACGACCCGATTGAACATCAGCTCCCTCAACGTCACGATAAAGCCCAATTGGATCCGGTCGATTGGCTTGCTCTGCGCAACTCCTCCTAATTCGATACCCCTCCGCTCGTCGTTCTTCCAGCCGCCATCATGAGCTACATCGCGCGCCGTGGTCTCTCGACCCTCATCCCCCCCAAGGTACGCCCGACCGCCAGACTCCGTCCCTCCCCGATCCCGGGATCACCTCGTGTTGCAGCTTTTGCTAACGGTGCCGAATTTCGCAGATTGCCTCCCCCAAGGTATGCTTCCGAACCCTCGATTGATGATCCGAATGATGCGATGGACGATGCGATGGATGCAACGGATGCGCCGCGGTGACGGCCGGGCGACTCGGAGCTAGGGAAGGATTTGCTCGGCATCACCCGCGACGACAACCATGCGACGACCACCCCAGAACTCGACGTTATGGAAAATGAATCAAAGACTGGGAGGAAACGCTGGCTGACGAAGTGAATCACGCAGGCTCTCGGTGCCAACCCCAACGCCGTCAAGATGGCCAACGTTGTCAAGTTCTACGAGAGGCTCCCCCAGGGCCCTGCCCCCCAGGTTCAGGCCAAGGGCATCCTCGGCCGCTACCAGGCCAAGCACTTCGACGGCAAGAACGCGTCGGCGAAGCGTACGTGCATTGAGCAGAGAAAACGACATGTAGAGAAGAGTGCTGACAGTCGTGTACAGCCATCATCCACGCCATTGCCGTCCTCCTCGTCCTTGGCTATGCCCAGAACTACTACTTCCACCTTCGTGAGTGCCACAGCGTATCCAGTTTGAGACGAGACGGAGACTGACAGCGACGCAGGTCACCACAAGAACAACGCTCACTAATGTGTGGGCTGGATGAGCTGCGGCTTGGTTCTTCTAGCAATGGCTGGCGGACGTGTACATAAGTATTAGACGTTGTTCAACTGGACCTGATCCCCTTTGTCAAGTTGAGCTGCCGGAATGTATCGATGTTGAAGATTGCGGCTCCTGCAGCTATGGCTGACGTGTTTGAGGGGTGTACTGAGCTAGTGCTCGCCCACTGTCAACACCGGCGGTGATGTGAAGCTGTTTTCCGTGACGTGTAGGTCGAGCATTGGCTGAGGTTGGTTTAAGTTTTACCAGTCTGGGCCGTGCAGCACGTGGCTCGATGGATGTGAGCACCAGATCAGTTTGAGAATGTGACAGAAGAATCGCCAGTGCTCCTAAGGCTCATCATTTGCTGCTCGTAGATTCGTCAAATATGGAGTGTTCTACTTCACACCATAGACATCAGTTTTCACAGATAGGCGACTGAAGCTCAAAAGAAAAAATCTTGCAAGGGAAAACTTCCATGGATGATTGAGGGCTTTGCTCCGAGCTCCGGCAACAGAAATGTTTGGTGTAACATGAGGATATGGTGGTGGGTTGTATCAGGCGCCTACGAGCGGAGGGAGCAAGCCAGTCCGCTTCGAACAGGCGAAAACAGCTGATGCAGCTACAGTGCGATAAAGGAAATGCACAGTACGCTCAACAGCTGGGGGCTGCGTGCTGAGGCCTGCCTATTAGCTCGGTAGCTCGGGCTGTTGAACAGTGAATGTCAGACGCTGAAGGCTGCACCTGCACCCGCCAGCATGTCCACTTTGCGCTCCCAGCCGCCTCTGGTAGGCACCCCCCCCCCCCCCCCCCCCCCTGGGGATTTTAAATCTGGGCCCAAGAACAAGTCGGAAGCCCCAATGAGGCCTTTAAGCTTCCTTAACAATCCAACCCGAGCGCCCCAGAATTATCCGAAAATTCCAGTAGTAACTTCCCCGATATTTGT